CGATCCGGAAGAGCAAGGTTAAGGCATTGGTTGGTGCCTTTGAAACTGTGATCTCTCTTCATGAGAAAAAGCCTTCTGCAAGTGCAAACACAGTCACTTGATGGAGCCTGGATAGACATTCTCTAGCGTTTTCATTTGTTTTGTAAAGAAATGGTAGGAAAATAAACCTTAGCTTTGGTAGTAGTTGTGAAACCAACAAGCTGAAGGTATTGCAGAAAGTAGAGGTATATTTGCCTTGAATTGTTGTCTTTAGAAGCTCTGCATGTAGAGTTGAGAGGGGGATTTTGTGTTTGGAACTTGCCTCAACTTGCACGATATACTTTTTGTTTCATTCTGCCTTGGAAATCCATACCTATTTTGAATGATTTGTTTCTTCTGATTTCAAATAAAATATCAAATAGTGATGCCAGTGACTTTGTACTTTTACTGGAAAGGAAAAGTGCTTTGAACGTGTGAAAATTTCTGTTACTTCTTTGATGTTCATACGAAAGTAAGAGTTGTCACTTGTCAGTATTGTGCATGCTTTTTTAGTAAAATAATTTTCTCTTAGATCTATGTTGTTTTCTTTGGTTAACTAATTAGTTTGTGAGGGATGATAAGTGTTGGAGTTTGAAACATTTTCCTGAGATTACTGTATTCTTTGGCAGTTAATCTTGGGGGATATTTGGCAACATTTAAACTAGCATAAAAGCATAGTGCAAGAAGTCTACCCTCTCCATAAAGAAAATCTTTGGCATTGTGTCTTAACTTCCGTTTAATATTATTCTATTTATAAAAAATTTGTTAGGATTAGACTATTAGAACATGGTGATACTGATTGATGACCTGGATAATGAAAATCTTGGTATTAAAGTTCATATTATTATTATTGTGTGCCCTCAAAAAATTTGCTATGATTGTCTTTGTGCAGATTGCATCATTCTCCCATCGCTTTGATAATTTTGTGGTATTTGTTTACCACATGAGAAAGTGTCAAAGTGATACACCACCCAAACGGGAAAGAATTACATATCAGCTCTAATTCATTGTGTATTTTTTCATTAAGGATATCATTCAATCAATAGTCAGAAGTTAATTCTGTAATTCTGTTTATGGGGTATAAATCACTGAATTGAGTTTTAGCTCTTTCAACAAAGTTTTATTTATACACATGGCATGCTTAGAGAACTGAAGTATTTATTAATGTGTTAGTTAATTAGACCATGTTGGTATTTGTTGTTCGTATCAACTTAATCTGACTTAGGAAACAGCTAGCATGATGTAAAATATTTACTAGGGTTCTAATTTCTCCCGGTGCTATTTGGAGAATTGCACTTAAACATGATTGTCATTGAAAAAAATACATGTAGAACCAATAAAAAAAAGCAGCACGCTTAAAAAGTTAAAATACTTGTTCTTTATGGATTCACAAGAAAATAACATTATTTTGCTCGATTTATAAAATTAGAAATTCATTTATCTATATTACCCTTTCATTCCAATCTATTAATACCTTTTTTCATTTAAATTAATGAAAGATATAAAAAATAATAATTTATAAAATGCAGTAATAGAAAATAAAATATAAAATATTCACTTACACTCTATAGCAACTAGCGATTGCATTTAGCTCTTTAATTAAGAATTAGCTAAACATGTCCATTTTAAAATTAGTTGTCCATTGAATCCCTGGCAGGGTTTCCTTTTTGTATGTTATAAAATTATAGAAAACTTAGCTTGAATCTTTGGTTAAACTCAAAATAAAAAATCTGTATTCAAACACATCTAATAAAAATATTATTTTATAATATTGGTGTGAAATGTAATTGGCCATTGTGCTGGCTAGCACTTATCAATTCTTAAATTAGGCAATTATTTAAAGAAGAAATTTTGTTTCTTTGATTAGATTCCTGATTCACTTCAAAGAGCCGCTAGCAGTTTTAAATTGAGATTTTCTAATTTTTCTGCTTTTTAATGAAATAAGATAAAAGAAAGCTTGTAAAAATGTATTTAAAAGACGAAATACAACTAGCTTAAATGTAAATAAAAGTTATAAAATTGAAATTTGGATCCTCTCCTGCAATATCCAGTCTCTCTCCTGCAACATTAATAGTCATTAAATATATCTAATGACTCAAATTTAATCTTATAATTAATGTAGCTTTTTAAATGATTAAATTTCAGCCATTAGATATATCTAATGACTATTAATGTTGCAGGAGAGAGGTTGGAGAGAGAATATTACAGGAGAAGATCCAAATTGATAAAACTGAGTGAAAAAGATACATAAGATTGATCTTGATTATGTGTGTGTCTAAATTACAACGTTATTTTCAACATTTAAAATGCCTAAAACTTTTAGAAATGTCTAACACATTCTAATAACCCACTTCCCTATATTATTATTGTAAGTAAAATGAGGGCAGTGACATCACTTTTACTATGCATTCATAAGATAATTATTCCACCTTGTCATGTTTCTTAATCACTGTTTTTTTAACCGTAGATAATATACTTTATATCAATTATTTTTTACCCCTAATTTAAATGTATTTAATATCATCTTCAAAAAAATATATTTTTGAATTTCTATATCATTATACTGATTGGAATACCACGACAATTAGATAAATTTTAGCATTGTAATATTGTATTATGTTCATAATGTGATTTACAAATTTCATATTATTACTTTGAAGAAGAGCAAAAAAGAAAAAGAGGTGTAAACTGTAAAGCCCACAGGCCCAAAGAGTATTTGTGGGCCGTTCGAGCGCAAGTTTATGAAATTCTTCATTATTCACTCATACAGCGAACCATAGCAGAACCCTCCGCGGTCACACTTGGAACCATGGCAGAATCCTCCGCCGCTGCTCCTCCGCCACCACCGGTGACCAAAAGCTGGGCTGACGAAGCCGACGAAGAAAGCAGCGCCGCCGCTACCACCGAGCCTGAAGCCTCCTCCTCCGTCAACGTCGACGCATTAACCATCGACGACAACAAGAAGAATCAGCCGAAGCTGTTGGACGACCCCGACGACTCCAACATCCAAGCGGTGCGTTTCGCTTCCCTCACACTCTCTTTTTCCATCGGCTAGGGTTTTTAATCGAACGCTAGGGTTTTGAATTGTGCTTAGGTTACCTCCGGAGACACGCCGTACACGTCGGCGGCGACGTTCGAGGACCTTAACCTGTCGCCGGAGCTTCTGAAGGGGCTCTACGTGGAGATGAAGTTCCAGAAGCCGAGTAAGATCCAGGCGATAAGTTTGCCGATGATCCTGAGTCCGCCGCACCGGGACCTGATCGCGCAGGCGCACAACGGCTCCGGCAAGACCACGTGTTTTGTTCTTGGGATGCTGAGTCGTGTGGATCCGAAGGTGCAGGCTCCTCAGGCTCTCTGCATCTGCCCCACGAGGGAGCTTGCCATTCAGAACACTGAGGTGCTCCGCAAGATGGGCAAGTACACCGGGATTGCCTCTGAGTGTGCTGTGCCCATGGATAGCCGTGATGCCTTGCCCATCGCCAAAAGGGCGCCGATTATGGCGCAGGTCGTGATTGGGACTCCCGGGACCATTAAGAAGTGGATGAGCTTTAAGAAACTTGGGGCCACCAGGTTGAAGATTCTTGTTTTCGACGAGGCTGATCAAATGCTTGCTGAGGTAATTCTATTGGCTGTTCAACTTGTTGTTCATCAAATGATTGCTTATGTGATGTAGCAGATTGTTGGATTTTTGCCTTTTTCTGAAGTCGGCAATTGTTAACACTACTGCATAGTGTTATGATTCTTCCTGAAATTGTTATTACTGCATTTGCCATTGTTTCACAACAGAATTTACATGTTGTAATTTTGATGTATGGTAAGTTGTCACCCTTCCTCATGTGATGGATAGAGAGGAAGATAACAGTTGTAGTAGTAAAACACTTGGGTTGGCAGTTTTCTCTTTTCTAGTTTGTAATTTCTCTTTGGTAAATACACATTCTGGATAGTTTTAGGTTCAGGGAATGCTGGTTTGGCCATGGGTTTTTGTTTTCTCCGACTTTTAATAGGGTTTGGTTGGTGAATATGCTGTGCCTTGATTGTTATAAGCTGTGCCTTGATTGTTATAAGCTGTGCTGTTGCAGGATGGATTTAAAGATGATTCCCTGAGGATAATGAAAGAAATTGAAAGGGTCAATTCTAACTGTCAGGTTTGTGGAATTCTCTCTTGCATAGTATGCTTTCCTGTATCACAACATTTCCATCTGTCCCAATAATTTCTTATACAGATTTGGTTACTCACTGACATGGCATTATTTTTCATCAAGTGTCCATTTGTTTTAGTCTTTTAGATTTTGGTAGAATTGATTTTGAATTGTTGGAACATGATTGATTGAACCCAAATTAATCTCAGCCATAGATTTCACATTGAAACATGTGCCATTGTGTGTCAAATTGATTTTCTTAGTAAAAATCAAATAAGCCCTAAATAACTGCATGAATACCTGTTTTGCACCATTACCATACAAATGATGTGGTAGTCTCTTTGATTTGTTTAGCCTTCTCAACTTTCTTAGTTATTTCTGCATCCATAGTGATTAATGATAGCATGCACATGCCAACATACATGTAGTTGATAAAGGATGTGTAATTTATAGTCATGCTTCAACCTGTCCTTTCATTATTTCATGCAAAATTTTACGTGCCCTTGGCCCTTCTAGAACCTGTGAAAGATGGAAAAAAGCCATCCATTCATCTTAAGCCTTGTAAAAAATAGTTTAGTGAAATATATCATGTTCACTCAAACAAAATTGCATATATGTAAAGATTAAATCTTCATTTGGTTTGATATTAATTGATTGCTTTTGCTTATAAGCAAGGTTATCAATAAGGTTATACGGCGGATGATTATTTAATTCAGTAACTACTGCCGAAACACAAATGCTTCCTCCTGGGTCGAAGACATCTCGCTTGTATCCATCTCTAGCTTCACCTGTTGGTAAGTTATTAATCATCAACGAAACAAATAAAACCTCTTCAAACTCATAACCACAAACATACTGAATGAATAGGAATTGAATCCCATTCAAGTGGCAGCTTTGGAAAATAGTAACTTCAAACAATAAATCAACTTCATCTTCCAGGTCCAAGGTCTCTTGAATTTTATTTTGAGAGGTGGGCAGAATGTATAAAGGTGCATTAGGAATGATGTTGACATGCTTCTTCAAACAAGAAAACTTGTGTTCCTGTTCCTGTATATTTGACACATCAAAAGAAGAAAATGTAACGTTAGAGTTGTCATCTTCCTCTTTATGTTTCTCACCTTCTGCTCTCATCTTCTCTTCTCTTTCTTTTTCTATCTTTATTTTCAATTTCAGTTGATCCTCATGTACAACGTCGGATGATAGACATATCAACTTAATCCTTCGTCCACCATGCACAAAAGAAATAGAAGGTCGTTCAGGATTTATAATTTTATTGTACATCCATGGCCTCCCTAATAACATATGGCATGTCTCCATGGGGGCAATATCACAAAGAACTTCATCTTCATATTTTCCAATAGAGAATTTAATCATTGTTTGTCCATTTGTAGTGGGCAGACATAATTTCTCAACTGCCCTGCTGCTCACGACATTTTTGAAATTGAATTCATCTACTGCAACCAAGAACAGAGATTCGTCAACCAAACATCTTGTATAGTAAATTTCCATTTCCATTCCAAACCCAGAGCCGAAGCTCTGATACCAAATGATGTGAAACCTGGCTAAACGAACATTATAATGTAGTTTTACAAACAAAATACCAAAATGGGGCTGTTTTGAAACATATTACACCTTTGGGGCTATTTTACTGGGTGTCGCTATGGGCCATAGCGACACCCATGACACGTGGCAATTTTGGGTCTGCTTCTAAGCCATGAACGCCATATTAAAGGAGGCGCTGTAGCTCGTAGAGACCCTTAAAAAGTCGCTATAGGCTACAGCGAATTAACTTGGCTTAAAAAAAAATTAAAAAACGAAATAAAAAACCAAAACTTGAGGCGCTGTGGCTCCTAGCGGAACAAAGGCGCTATGAGTCAGAGCGCCTGTTTTAAATTATTTATAATAATTGTTAAATATAAAAATTGATAAATGAATTATAAAAAATTTTACAAAAAAAACGGAAAAAAGAGCTGAAATAAGAAAAATGTAAATTTTTAAAAATAAGTAATATAATGTTAAAAAAGATTTTAAAAACGAAAAAAAAATATACAAACTGGGGCGCTATGGCCCATAGAGAAAATGAAGCGCTGTAGACCCCAGCGCCTGTTTGAAATTATTTAAAATATTTTATAAAAATAAGAATTGATAAATTAATTAAAAAAAATTTCGGATAAAAAAGCGGAAAAAAGAACTAAAATAAGAAAAAATAACATTTAAAAAAAAAAGTAATGTAATGTGGAAAAAAATAATAAAACAAAAAAAATAAAATATAAAAACGGGGCGCTAGGGCTTGTAGCACCTTATAGGCGCAGTGGCTGATAACGCTTCCTTTAAAGTAATCGCAGGCGCCACCAATGACAACGTGACACGTGGCCCATCCTTTTCAAATTAACTGCAGGCGTGGCCAATAGGAAGGTGACACGTGTGTCAGTTTAAGTAAAAAATTTTATCTATACAATGTGCAGCACAAGGAGTCCAATAAATTTTTTATCTTTTCTCCTCTAGCAACCTACCAGTAAGAACATAATTACTTCCGTTGTCCGTTATAACTTGGAAAACCTTTTCCTCTCCAATCTCCTCCACAATAGAATCCAACAACTCAAATATTTTTTCACCGGTCTTTACATAATCAGATGCATCAACTGACCTTAAGAACATTGTCCCACAAGAGGAGTTCACCAAAAAGTTGATTATGCTTCTTTGTTTCCTATCAGTCCAAGCATCTGACATTAAGGAACACCCAAAACTTGCCCATTGATCCTTTAGTGGCTTCATTAATTCATTAGTGAACTCCACTTCTTTTTGAAGGAGTGGTACTCTAATGTCATGATAGGAAGGAGCTTTCAAATGCTTCCCAAAATGCCCAATTTCACGAATCATATCTTGAAAACTTTCCAACTTTATCAAGTTGAAAGATATGCCAGCTTGGTACCAAAAGCGTGCTATATATTGGTAAACCCTTTCTACAGCTTTTTTATCACAAAGCTCTCTTATGCCCGCTTGCACCACCTTGTCTTTCCTATTTTTTGCAGCTGTAGATTGAGGTTGAGTGTAAAGGTCCATAGGTCCTTTCCTAGTATCCTTCAATCTAAAATCACCAATTGGAGGTAATCGAGAATCAGAACCTCCAAATTCCATAAATCCTTCTTCACATTGTACCTCAATCTCTTGCATTGCCTTCTTGAATGCTTCATTTTGCCTCTGCTTCTTACCATCCATAGCTGCCCTTATCTCAACTTTGACAGCTTCAGGAGCCATCAAACAAGCTGTAACATTGCCCGCCTTTCCAATCAAATGTTGTTTCACCCTTGTGATACCTCCTTTCATAACCTTCCGGCAATAATTACAAAGAATCTCATTTGTAGCATTCTCTCTAACCGGTGTACAATGCTTCCAAGCAACGTCACTCCTCTTAGAATTAATGGAACTAGAAGATGACATTGTCGGTGGCCGAGAGTTTGAATCTGCCTCCCCTGACATTGTTGGATTGTCGGATGCGGTGGCAGTGGTGATGGCAAAACCCAAAGGAGGAGGAAGAAAATCTCGTCGGAGGTCACGGTGGTGTGGTCGGAGGTCACGGTGGCGCGCAGAGGTGACGGTGGAGGTGGTGGTGGCTCGCAGGGAGGCTAGGGTGGCGTGCGCGGAGGCAGCGGCGGTGGTGGCGGAGGTTATGGTGGCGCGACAGTGATGCAAGCGGAGGAGGAGAAGAAACTCACTTCTTAGTTCTTACGTGATGGTGGCAGCTGCGTCAGAGGCAGCGACGGTGGCAGCTGCGTCAGAGGCGACAGCGGCGGTTGAGTCGTCGGCGAGGGTGGAGTTGCGTCGTCGGCGACGGTGGCAGATGCAACGTGGGAGTCGGAGCAGTTGCGGGGGTAGGTTTGCACGAAAGGGGCTCTAATTGATTTAGGGTTTCTAATGCCCTATTTCATCTGTTGGGTGCCCAACCCGGAAAACAAACCCGGGCCCAAACCAGAAACTAAAAAAAAGGCCCAAAATGAAAAAAAGGGCCAAAACGAAAAACAAAAAAAAAATGGCCCAATAATGGCGCCATGTCCGCCATTCCTGCCACGGACCGCCACGCCAAACCCGCCATAACGGCCGCCATCTCCAAAATGGCGGAACCCCGCCATTTTTACCCTAAACCGCCGTAAAGGATTGCGGCCGCCGCCGCCACGCCGTTATGGCGCCGCCATAACCGTTTTTTGACAACACTGCTTATAAGTAAATTCAAATTGCATGGAGGGTAAATATAAATGTTCCTAGCTACACTTACTATTTGTGCTTCAGAATCATTATATCTGCATTTCGAGCAAACCTTTTATCTTTTACGAGTTTGCTTGCTATATATGTGATTCAATGTTTGTGCCTGCTTTTATGTAGTGTATTTAATTTTGATGTTTCTTTTTTATCTAAGAAAATTTTGATTGGCCTGTATGTCTGCAGGTTCTTTTGTTTTCTGCTACATTTAATGACACGGTCAAGAATTTTGTTTCAAGAACAGTCAAGAAGGATCACAATCAACTATTTGTAAAGAAAGAGGAACTATCTTTAGATGCAGTGAAGCAATATAAAGTGCATTGTCCTGATGAACTTGCTAAGATTGAAATTATAAAAGATTACATATTTGAAATAGGAGAGAATGTGGGGCAAACCATCATATTTGTGCGCACAAGAAATAGTGCAAAAATGTTGCATAATGCTCTTGTTGATTTTGGCTATGAGGTTACATCTATACAAGGTGCTCTTGATCATGAACAGAGAGACAAAATTGTCAAGGAGTTCAGAGATGGTTTGACTCAAGTTCTTATATCAACAGATGTTCTTGCTCGTGGTTTTGATCAGCAACAGGTACTGAATTGGTTTTCTTCACTCTTATCTTTTTGTGTATGTCCTCATTTGCTTTTCAATGTGATGACATCCTAAAAATGAATATTTATTCAGGTTAATTTGGTCATCAATTATGATCTTCCAGTGAAACACACTGCTGAGTATAGCCGTGAACCTGAGCCGGATTGTGAAGTCTATTTGCACAGGGTTGGCAGAGCTGGGCGTTTTGGGAGGAAGGGTAAATTTCTAGAATTCTCTGCTTACTGTTATGTAGTTATCATAATATGTTACAGTCGTAATAAGTGAGCTTCCTGTTACCTTTTATTTTTTGTGTGGTGCTAGTGTATCTAAGTTAAATTCTTCATATTTAGACATGGGTTTATATCTCTTAACAAATCACTGTGCTAGCTTTAGCCTTGCTTTCAATGTAAACTTAAGCCCTTAATAGTTGTGTCTTGTTATTTTTTTTCAAAAGGGACAATTATTTTGCCACCATATTTCAATATATATTACACTGATGGGACTATTAAGTAATATTCCTAGCCTGTTGAGTAGGTGGAAAGTGAATGTTATTCTGAACTCGTTAAAATCTAGATGAAAATGAGAAATTAAACATTGATTATTTATTTGGAATTCTATAGACTTTTACTGTGTCTAAATTCATTTCCATTTTCCATCTACTTAACGTAGCAGATATCCTTAGTTGGACTGGTTAACCCTGCTCAGATTTTTCTTCTGAAATATGCACATGTTTGGCCACACTATCACCTCCTGCAATTTCAAATTTTGTTGCTATACCCTTTCTAAAGAAAATAATGCATAATTTCATTCTTCATTAAGTTATGAATGATATCTTCAGTAATGATACAAAATAGTGAAGTTATTCTTTTCCATTTGTTTCATTTGATCCTCTACAGGGGCTGTATTTAACCTGATATGTGATGAAAGGGATGCGAGGCTCATGTCAAAGATTGAGAACCATTTTGGCACTCATGTTGCTGAGGTATGCTACTTGATGGTTCTTGGATCATGTTGCATAACATTGATTCTGCAAATTTTGATTTTGCCTTGTTATGTGTGGAAAGAGTTGTGAACATTATTTTGTTAATGTCATTGGGGATGCAGGTGCGAGCACAAAGTGTTGAAGAATATAAAGCTGCTCTCAAGGAAGCCGGTTTACTGCAATGATGTGAATCTTCAGAAGTTGAAGGATGTTGATAACTTGTGTGTTTCTCTTGAATGTGCCTGTGTATACTGGCTAACGATTTTGGCCATATCTATGAATGATTTACGGACACACATGCGGATCATGGTTTAAGTTTTGGGGATGGGGAGTTCTTGTTCAGTCTGTGCTTTTAATGCTGCTGCCGTGGTTGTTTTCCTCCTTATATTTAGCTGTGTGTAACTTAGGATTTTTCTTCAGCATTTTTTGTTGAGACTAAAAATATCAGTATCATTTACATATAAACAGGTGGATGCATAAATGAGATGTGTAAGCTTACTTAGATATCAACGTGTCACAGCATAAAAGATGTTATTATGATGTACAATTAATATTATAAAAATATTCGACCTCTTTCTGTCATACAAGTTTGTCAAGGTCAATAAAGAGCTGTTCTGGTTCACCCCAACTCACTGATAGATCAACCTCATTGTGCCAGTTTTCTAGGTGTAACAAAATTCCAAGTTTTATACAAAACGCTTTGAGTACCAAATGTTTTTAACGCCCATGATTATTATACTTGCATCTTATTTCGTTATCTTCCTACTCAATTTTATTTTATTTTTGAAAATTCTATTCTCTTTCCTTCGTGTACCCCTTCATCTTATGCTCTTCATCTATTTCATACATCTCACTTACTCTTCTATAAACATTGTTCTTTCTTGTTTTCCATTAATTTTTCAGAGCTTTTTTTCCTGTCTTCTTCGCAAGCGTACTGTTTTGAGTCCTAATTTTGATGGTATTAGTTGCTATGTCAAGATACAAAATGAAAACAATTGTGTATCTTGCCAAGATTTTGGCGAGATACGGGTCAAGAGTATTATTGTCAACAAGAATGATAAGGGGTGGGAAAATCAAACAAGAAAGTGTGAAATCATGTAGAAAAGTGTTGACACTTACCACTTTGTGCTTTATTTACTTGCTTAACATAGTAAACTTGACCTAGGATTTTTCTGGCTAAACGACCATTATAATGCAGTTTTACAAACAAAATACCAAAATGGGACTGTTTTGAAACATATTACACCTTTGGGGCTATTTTACTGGGTGTCGTTATGGGCCATAGCGACACTCATGATACGTGGCAATTTTGGGTCTGCTTCTAAGCCATGAACGCCATATTAAAGGAGGCGCTGTAGCTGGTAGAGATCCTTAAAAAGTTGTTATAGGCTACAGTGAATTAACTTGACTTAAAAAAAAAATTAAAAAATGAAATATAAAACCAAAACTTGAAGCGCTGTGGCTCCTAGCGGAACAAAGGCGCTATGAGTCAGAGCGTCTGTTTTAAATTATTTATAATAATTGTTAAATATAAAAATTGATAAATGAATTATAAAAAAATTTCCAAAAAAAGTGGAAAAAAGAGCTGAAATAAGAAAAATGTAAATTTTTAAAAATAAGTAATATCATGTTAAAAAAGATTTTAAAAACGAAAAAAAAAATATACAAAATGGGGCGCTATAGACCCCAGCGCCTGTTTGAAATTATTTAAAATATTTTATAAAAATAAGAATTGATAAATTAATTAAAAAAAATTTCGGATAAAAAAGCGGAAAAAAGAACTAAAATAAGAAAAAATAACATTTAAAAAAAAAAGTAATGTAATGTGGAAAAAAATAATAAAACAAAAAAAATAAAATATAAAAACGGGGCGCTAGGGCTTGTAGCACCTTATAGGCGCAGTGGCTGATAACGCTTCCTTTAAAGTAATCGCAGGCGCCACCAATGACAACGTGACACGTGGCCCATCCTTTTCAAATTAACTGCAGGCGTGGCCAATAGGAAGGTGACACGTGTGTCAGTTTAAGTAAAAAATTTTAATTTTACACTTATAAAATGAAACAGATGGTCCCGTCCCCCACTTTCACTTTCACCTTCCTTCTTCTTCGGGTAAGTTTCTCTCCTCTTAATTTTTTCGTTTTCATAATTTTGTTTTATTAAATATTTTATATTTATTTTATTTTCAGGTTATATTTTTTTATAATATTTAAAAGTCGCTATAGGATATTTAATTAATTTTTTCTGATTATAATTGATTTAAAAGTCGCTATAGGATATTTATAAGTATTATAACTGTTATTTAAAATTATTTATTTTGATTTATATTTAATTTAAAATTTTTATGTAATAATACATTTTTGTTATTTCAGGTTGTTGGTGTTTTTTTGGGGATATTATATCATACGAGGTATTTATGATTTATTATGTTTTAAATTTTTTAATTTTCTGCAATTTATTTGGTTTTAAATATGTGTTTTTTAGAATTTTAGTTGTAAGTCAATTTTTTACTGTAATTGTAAATTTAATTCTGTGTCAATTATATATATATGAAAATTAATTATATTTAAATTGTTAATTTATTTAATTTATTGCAGTATAATTGATATTAATTAAAATAAAAAATATATTTAAATTTTAAATTGATAAAATGATTTCTGTGTAATTTTTATTTATTTAAAACATAATTATAATTAAATTATAAAATGATATAATTAATTTCTGTGTAATTTATATTTATTTAAAAATAAGTATATTTAACTTTTAAATTGATTTAATTTATTTGTGTGTAATTTATATTTATTTAAAACATAATTATATTTAAATCTTAAATTGATTTAATTCATTTCTGTGTAATTTATATTTATTAAATAATTAAATATATATAAATTTAAAATTGATTTAATTTAATTCTGTGTTATTTATGTTAATTAAAAAAATATTTTGTTTATATTTGAAATTGCTTTAATTTATTTCTGTTTAATTTAAATTTTTTTCGTATTTTTTATTTAAAAAATATATTTATTTATATTTATATTTTAAATTGGTTTGAGAACATTTATGAAGATACGTTTGTTAAACTAAAACTAGATAATTAACAAATATTCAAATATACCTTATTTAATATCAACAAATATTTGAATGTCATTTTTTAATTTAACAAAATATTTGAAGTTTTATTTTAATTCATTCCCTAAATATTTAAATATACCTTATTTAATATATAAATTATTTATTTGGATTCTGTGTTATTTATTTGGATTATGATTATAATTACTTATTTAAATTATTAAATTGTTTTATTTATTTGTTTATAGTGAAAAAATAATATGTATAAAATAAATTATTGTAAAAAGATAAATTAATTTTTTGGATATTAAATTAATTTATTTGACATTTGTTATAATTGTTATTTTTTTTTATTTTTTTCAGATTATTGTTGGTTTATTTGGATTTGTTGCTGTATTTCCTCATCTCAGGTATTTATTATTTTCAGTTTGAATATTTGTTTTTCTCTTAAAATTAAGTAGTCGGTATAGGCTTTATCAAATTATTTATTTAATTTATTAAATATTGTGATTTATTTGAATTATTTATTATTTTGGTATAATAATGTTAATGAAATTTAAAAAATAAATTATATGTTTTAAAATAATTAATTTTATTACATTTTGTTATAGATGGCATCATCATCATCTTCTACGGGTATGCGTGTGACATGTGGACCAGTCGACGATGATTTATTATCGTTGCAAAATATACATGTGTCACAACATGTTTGGAACAGAGATGAAGACAGGAGACTAGTAGCACGACGTGCTGCTCCGTCGCGCAGTGGAATTGCAGGAGTTCCACAACAAATAATTCCGTTGCTAGATCAATTGCGGTTACATTATTCAATTATACATTATTCATCACGGTTACATATTCTCGGACAATTGCGCCTGTTGTGACCTTCTTGTTTACATATACCACATTTTTGTCATCGCGTTGAGCTTTCAACCCAGTCCATTTCGTGTCTAATTCTGGTTGATTTTGGTCTGCCTTTCCCACGCACAGATGTTGGATCTGGGACAAGTATCCAGTCGTCATCACTTGGAGGGATTAAGTCTTCATTTCCGATTGGTTCCCAAAGACCAGAATAGGCACTTAAAACATAATCTGTTGTATAAACTGGATCTATAAACTGGTAGTAATCAATG